AGTCTCCAGCCAGGATTCTCAGCCCCACCCACCTCTCACAATCCTGCTATCAGACTGCCTCCATCCAAGGACCCCTCCCATCCAACCCCAGCAGGCAACGAGCTCCTGTCATCTCCCACCCTCCATGATACCTCACTTCCCAAATCAGGTATCACTACGTGGTCCCACTTCCGATCTGTCCTTCCTGGATATGGTCAACAGGAAAGATCAGTCCCACCTTTTATTCAGGAGGCCACCAGCTGCAGCCCTTACTGTGGCCTTGCCAAGAGGGGAGTGCTGAAAGGGTACATCCTCTGGGCTCTGGCAGTCTTCACCATCCCCAGATTTCTTCTCCTTTGGGGAAAAGGGTTTCTTACTGGGACCTGCAACACCGAATAGAGCTTATGCTGCTATAGGCCTGACACTGGACTGCCAGTTTCTTCTGGACAAAATAATATCAACACAGGAAGGTAACTATGAGACACAAGGACCCACTCAGATCCAGCCTCCCCACTGGCCCTGGGAAAAGGATGCACACTCGCGCCCAACTTCATACACAGAGTATTAGACTAGGAAAGAATCATTGAAAACTCACTTATTTTCTTCTTGTGCCAAAAGATAGCCACATCCTTATGCAAACTTTTCCCCTTCTTCCTAGCCAGGGCTGCAGATGCCTAAAAAACAGTCCATGCCCAAGTATGAAGACAGCAGGAAGCCAAAGAACATGAAAATGAAAGTGCAAATGCAGCAAGAACAGGCCACTCAAAAATAAAAAGGAGGGCCAGGGATTTAGCTCAGTGACACCACACCTGTCCTTCAGGTACATGATCCTGAGTTCTCTCCCTAGTACCCAAAAGAAACAAATAAAGAAATACATAGGAGCTGCTCTTCTCTGTGCCATAGTGACATTGCCTCCTGCCACACTACGTGTTCTGCTCACACTGTCTTCCTCCAGCACGGCAGCCATAGCCCTCCTCCCCTGTGCTACTTCACAAGCAGGTAGTGCTCTTCTCCTTTTCAGAACTAACAACTGTGCAGTGATAGAACCCATGAACTTGGGCCGGGGATTTGGCTCAGTGGTTCCACCGCCTGCCTTGCAAGCTCAAGGGCCGGAGTTTGATCCTTGGTACAAAAACAAAAAAAAAACAAAAAAAAACATGAACTTGCTTGGCCTCTGGGTTTCAGTGAGATGAATCTCACTACCTGACTTCATATACAGAAACAGAAAGCCTGCCAAGTCTCACTTAAGCACAAAAGGAAGCTACAAAGTGATACACGTGGGATACCATTTATCACAAAATCAACTACATATTGTAAAGGCATAGATCCACTTCTATCTACAAAAATATTTACCATCCTAGGTAACCAGGGCCACTCCAGAATGACAGAAGAGACAGAAGGATCACTGTTCAGTTCAAGGCTAACCTGGGCTACATGAGTTCAAGGCCAATCTGAATTACAGAATGAGACCCTGTTTCTAAATAAATAAATAAATAGTTATATAAAAACATACTTTCAAGTGGGGCATGGTGGCGCATGCCTGTAATCCCAGCACTCGGGAGGCTGAGGCAGGAGGATCGCTGTGAGTTTGAGACCAGCCTGGGCTACATAGTGAATTCCAGGTCACTCTCAACTATATAGTAAGACCCTGTCTCAAAAAACCAAAAAAACCATGCTTTCTACTTTATAAATTCTTATTGAATTTGATTTTTTCCATAAGAATAGCTTAAAAAATAGATATCAAGCTGCTTAATATGAGCAGTACATGTATACATGCACCCTACAACCAATATACACATTCAAAGTCAGGCTGCAAAGCCATCCAGTCAGGGGAGAGGATTATGAGGAATTTCACTTTTGCTTCACAGTATCTGTAAGTTTACAGTGATCATTACTATGATAATATTTTTAAAAACAAAACAGAAAATGTAAATTTGGTAAGTGCTGAATGGGTTATAGAACCACTCCCAAGACTTCTGGAGAAATCAGACCTTAAAGCTTCCCTAGAGCACTATGTTCTGCAGACTGCATGCCTTTCATGATTCCAAATTAGGAAATAAACATTGCTATCCCAGCATAAGCTAGAAACGAGACATTTTAATGCTTCTCTTATACTCAAGGGACTGGCAAATGAAAAAAAATAGGTTTAAAAGAGACAAAGTCCAAAAGTGAGTAACGTACAAGGTTAGGAATACTCACATGATCAAAAAAATGCACCACTGCAAGCTTTTTGCTGCGTCTGGTGAAGATACGCTGCACTTTAGCAATTTTGCTGAAGTAGTTCTCTAAGGTAGTCCTGTCATTCAGGTAGTCCGGGATGTTCTTGCACTGGATCGCTGTGACTTCTGTGGGAGACAAACGCCCAAGACTGTCTGTGCTCTCACTTCTTTTACTCTGGTGCACAGGCATTCCCCTTAGATCTAGGGTTTGAGAGAACAGGAGACATAAACCCATCATGTGTGACACTTTTCATACTACAGGAGGCACCAACTGTGTAAAAGCAAAGCAAGTTTCCCATGGATGTAAGGCCTATTCCAAGGTTCTATGTTAGGGTCCCTAACACTAACAGGGAACTTACTAGAAAAATCAAGGTGGATGAGTGTGTTGGTCCATGTCTCTATAATACTAGCACTCTAGAAGGTTGAGGCAAGAGAATGACAAGTTCAAACACACCTTGGGCAACTTAGTGAGCTACTGTCTCAAAATGAAAAATAAAATATTAAAAAAGGGCTGGGGATACAGCTTAGTGCAAGTTCAACCCCTGTACAGCAAAACTGAAAGAAAAATCAACTAAACTCCCAGGAAATTTAGTGAGCACCAACTAGCAGAATGTACTCTGTATTGTATATTTTTTGAACTCACCTTCTTTTTTATCTCTGCTTTCAGTTTCTTCCTCTTTATTCACACCAGGAAGCCGGGAAGGTGCAAGGACAGACTGACCACCTCCTGAGATAGCTATGTGGTCACTTTCCCCAGACTCAACAAAGCCACTTTCCTTTTTAGATTCCTTATTGCCCAGGCGCCCTACTTCTTTATTGCTTTTGAAGACGTCTTGTATTGTTCGACCAAACAAAGTACCTCCCCGGGGTCGATTCAGACGGACAGGTCGTTTATCCGGAGGATGATCCCCTCTAGACAGGGGATCTGAGTCTTCTGCTGCCTCATACCCATGTCTCCTCGGGGAGCAATCTTGGTCCTCTTTCCTTTTCAGTCCTTTCATGAGGCCAGGAAGCGGCTCCATCTGGGAAACAGCCTCTTCACACCCTTGTCGAATACTTGATTTATTAACTGAGAAGGGTTCCCCCAAAGACCCAGAAGATACAGGAAAACTACTGAAGTTACTATTACAGCTTCCAAATACCGACTTAAGTCCTCTCTTTTCTTCCTCTACATTTTGGTTTGACAAAGAAGGGTTAAAGGGAGAAGATGAATTATTACTGTTAACTGGTTTTGAAAAGATAAAACCTGAACTACTTGTCACCTGGGAAAAAGAAAAAGGAGTTGGACCTCCAGGTCCACTATTAATTGAGGGGGGAAATGTGAAAAACCCAGTAGTAACTTGGCTCTGGGTTTTCTCTGGCTCAGACTCAGTCCCCAATATTGGTCTGAATACTGCATTTTCCAGAGGTTTAAAGCTGAATTCTGTTTTCCCAAAACCAGAGTTCACTACTTCTCCAGCTTCTGATCCATACGTAGTAGTAGTTGAGAAAACCCCAATGCTGGTAGGTGATTTAAAACTAAATCCTGGGTTTCCAGGCACAGATGAACTTGAAGGCCCAGAAGTAGCTACAAAGGGAGGAGCTCGTTCAAGTCCAGAAAAGAGTCCAGAACTTGAGGTCTGGGTGAGTCCAAATGTTTGCCCTGAAGAATGACTTATTCCAGAAGGTGCTCCAAAGCTGGGTACTTGGGAAAATCCGGGACTCTTTCCAGTCAGTGTATTATTTTGTCCAAAAAGTGATGGCTGACCAAATCGAAATGGGGGCTTAGACTGAAACGTCCCTGCTATACTACTAGAAGATGCTGCAAAAGCACTGGACTGTTGCCCACTGAAAGGGTTCACTGGGTTCATCTTTGATTGGATTATTAGAAAGCAATAAATACCATATGTACAGAGTCAGTCTTCTTCCCTAAACAGTCTGTTTCACTAGGGAGCTCCCCTTCATCTTCAGGATAAGCTGAAAGACAGAAATCCAGGACATCACAATATGTTTTTCTAGGGACTAAGAACAGTCTTGACTTACACACCATAAATTTTTTTTTTTTTTTTTTTGAGGCAGGGTCTATGTGGTTGGGGCTGGTCTTGAACCCGGCCTGCAGCGATCCTGTCTCAGTCTCCCAAGTGCTGGGATTACAGGCCTGCACCAGCTCAAAAGATAATTATTCAAAAGGCGGCAACGCAAAGGTGTAAGCAACTTTATATGGTGAACTATCACTCTGCCTTTCCCCCCCAACCCTCAGAAAGGAACCTGTTGGCGCTCACAAAATAGTTATCATACAGAGATTTAAAACCTGATCATCTGAGACTAAAATGAAAACCCAAATCATCTGAGTTAATAAATTCACGAGAAATCGCCCTTGGTAATAGGAATGGACGCCGTTACTTACACCTTTCTACTTACAGAGGGGCCTTCGAAGACTCCCCGGTCTCCGCGACCAGAGAACACACTTTAACCTCTGCACCGTTACTGCCCCCCGCCCCTATCTAATTCTTCTCAGAGCAATCGGAGCACGAAACACCTTCTCCCGGCCAAGAAACTGACATTTTTTTTTTTAATTCCGGCTACTGCCGGAGGCTGGCTCGGGCTAGGAGCGGCCTGGCGGTGCGGCCGGGGTTGAGGCCACCACCGCGGCCGGGTCTGCGCTGGCCGCCCTCCGTCTCCTCCGCCTGCCTCCTGCGTAGGTCCTCGGCACCTGGGACGCCCGGACGATGCTTCGTTACGCGCGGCGGGCAGAAAATCACGGAGGAAAACAAACACAGCGGGCGGAAAACGCTGCGGACTGACTTCCTGCTTCTAGGGCCGCCGAGTTCAAGCTGCGCTCCGCGACTTCCGGTCTGCTGCACAACTTCCGGCCCGGTAAGTAAGTGGCTGGTTCCTTCTCCTGCGTGAGCTGGTGCTGAGAACCCGTAATCTCCACACCCCGTCCCGTTCCTCAGCGCTGTGCGACCCCGCGCAGTTTCTCCAGCTAGTCAGGACCACTCCTCCGCAGGCCGTTTCCTGGGGCTGTTGTTGGTGTTGCTTTGTTTTTGTACAGGAGATGGAACCCAGGGGCCCTGCACTACTGAGCTCCATCCTCGGCACCTTTGTTTGTTTGTTTACTTATTCGCAATGCTAGGATTGAACCCAGGGTCTTCACAGTGCGCCACACCCCTGGCGCTTTAAAAAAACAAAACGTGGAGACAGGATCTCGCTAATTGGTCCGGACTGGTCTCGAAATTTTGATTCTCCTACCCCACCCCGAATTGCAGGAATCAGGCATGTGCCACCAAGCAGGGCTATATACCTCATTCTTATATCTTCTTGTGGTGAATGTAAATTCCCCTAAATTAATCAACAAATTCCGTCAAATAAAGTGATTTGGTTTTAGTATATGTAATCTTACAGAATCTACCACTTTCTGGTACTGATGATCACTTCAACTTTAACCACAGGTTCCATACAAACAATTTTAAAGGGCTTGATGTTCTTCCTGAAATGAGTTTGGTGATTAGAAATCTGCAACGTGTGGTCCCCATTAGGAGAGTGCCACTTCGAAGGAATGTGGAGATTGTACGGAATATTTTAGGAGTGGAGAAATTTGACCTGGGGATCGTCTGTCTTGACAACAAGAATATTCAGCACATTAACGGAATGTACAGACAAAAAAATGTCCCAACCGATGTGCTTTCTTTTCCATTTCATGAGGTAAAAGATATTCTTCCTCTTGTCTAGCTTGCCTTCCTGAATACATTTTGTGTCTTATTTTGTTCAAAATTAACAGAGAGACAGAAATACAAAATTGTGTTGCTGTACTGATTTAACTCTGAAGAAACAGGGGCAGGGTGATTCCACCTTGGGAGGGATGAAAGAAATAGAAAGTGACTCATTTGACAGGGTAGAAGCATTTGAGATTGTTGGTGTATGTGGTGGCTGTGCAGCCTGTCCCCAGCGGCGCTCACTAGTCATACTAAAGCATGCTGCCTAGGACTCTGAGCCATATCCTTATGGTTGGGTTGCTGTTCCCAGAGTGGTATATTCTAAGTCTGTTTCCTCATTTTTAGAATCTGAAAGCAGGTGAAATTCCCCAGCCTGGATTTCCAGATGACTATAACTTGGGAGACATTTTCCTAGGAGTGGAGTATATCTTCCAGGAGTGCAAAGAAAATGAAGATTACTATGACATTCTGACTGTAAGTAGAGACGCTAAAATCATATCCTGGCTCATGAAACTCCTACCATCCACCGGGTTTAGGAAAGAGGCCAGTCTGTGCACACCAAGTGCCCCAGGTACTCCAGGGTTGCAACAGGAGAACTCACAGGCAGAGAGGAGTACCTAGGCTTGTGGAAAAACAGGGGTCCCAGGAGCCCTCTCAAATCATTCACGGTGGGCTGGGGATTTAGCTCAGCAGTTCGGTGGCCTGCCTTGCCAGCGCAA